CTAAAATAAAAGTGCTTTTACAGTTTTAAACATGATTAATTTTTTGAATAAGAAAATTTGTGTCGCGGTACATCATAATTAAGGAAATCTACAAAATAGCTTTCTCATATTTGATTAACTTGTAAGATTTTCAAATTGTCAACCCTACGTTACTAATAGTGACAAACGATTATTAATATATTTACTTTCGAATTAGAAAAATAATTAGAATTTTGTTAGTGACAAACGATTTTGTTAGTTGTCAACTGTAAATTTGTGTCGTAGTTTTTGTTAGTTATTTTTTGAATTCACTGTGCTCTAAAAGGGCAAAGGGGAATTAAATTGCATAATTGGCAATACGTAATAATGTACATATATAAATAAGAGAAATATTATAGGTACATAATAATGTACATAGAGGTGTACATAACACTCACATGAAATACATTCTACCAAAAATAAAAAATCAAGTGGACTCCACTACTCCATGTGAGTGTTATGTACATCTCTATATACATTTATTATGTACTTGTAACATTTTTCTATAAACTAGTACAGAGCCCGTGCGATGCACGAGGTGCACAATTTTAAAGTTATTTATCCAGACTTATAATTATATACATGAATAAAGAAAAATGTACGGGATATATATAGTACGTGACCCATGCAAAGCACGAGATATATTTATTTGGAGAATATTATATTATAAAATGAAAATTCAATAAAAGTTTATAATACGCAAGAAAATTGTACAATGTTCAATAAAAGTTTTATAATATTCAAGTGGAGTCTTAAAGTCACTTGTACATTAAGACTACTGACAAAATAATATTTTAATCAATGAGTTTCCTTTCCTTGTAGTCAAATTGTGAATGTGATTTGAGGAGTACAACAAATCGATATATAGTCGACTTGCTTTTTTCATTGTAGTTTTTTTTCTTTTTTTTTATAATGAATTAAAAGATATTCTAAAATATAGAAAAAAATAATTTTTTTTATTATAATTAGGAATTTTACTAAATATAAACTCTCAATCTATGGTGTTAATCAACGTTTAAGTCTAAAAAATTAAGAATTTTTACCTCTTTTAATCAACGTTTAAGTCTAGAAAACAATAGAGTTATTATAAGTTTTTTTTTCTACATCTTTTAAAACATTAAATATGAGCATGTTAGGGCTAACTTGTAAAATAATTAATATATTATCTCACTAAAACATTTATACTAATAAAAATTTAATTTTAGCATATAAATTTATCCCTTGATATAAGAAAAAGTAACAGTTTTACTTATTGTTGTTCACCACATAATATTTAATTATTATTTTATTATATAATAAAAAAAAAATATTGTTAAATAGTGTAGTAGAATTGTTATAAAATTACATGATTTTTTTATTTTTTTTTTACAATATGGATTTAATATTTTTTTATGATTTGATAATATAAACAAATCTATACTTAACTTTGACAAATAAAACAAATAAATACTTTAGTAAGTATTTTATATACTAAATATGAATATATTTGGTATAATCAAATACCAAATATAAACAAATAAGTCAAAGTGTACATTTTTATTTGGTATTTGAATTTTTTATTATTAAAATCTTTTTATTATACTTACCTTTTTAAAATAAACTAAATAAATAAATAAATTAAATAAATAAAATATTATAATACCAAAATAATAA